AAAAAAAAAAAAAAAAAAAAAAAAAAAAAAAAAAAAATTGTGAACGCGACAGGCCACTTTGAAAAGGCACAGTTGCAGGCTCGTAACAGCTTTTATTGGGTATGTGTTGCCATGGGGACAAATGAGTTTTGGGGGAGCTACTGTAATTACAAGTTTAGCTGAGGCTCTTTAAGGGCCAACACAACCCAAAAAAAAAGAAAAAAAGAAAAAAAAAATAAGGGCCAACACAACCAAGCCTGTCTCATCAAGAGCAGCATAATGAACTGCACTCCCTTTCGAGGGCCAACAATTATTATTACGCTAATAGTTGCAATGATTCGGTAATGATTACCTGGCTACGATGGATGTATCTGGCCTGGAAATGGCCCTCAGTGCAGCCAGGATGTAAGCCTTGGAAGTCAGCTTAGGTTCGAGCGACCTGGTGGTTTAAGGGCCAACACAACCAAGCCTGTCTCATCAAGAGAAGCATAATGAACTGCACTCCCTTTCGAGGGCCAACAACAATTATTACGCTAAAGCCTAAAAGTTGCAATGATTGGGTAATGATTACCTGGATATGATGGATGTATCTGGCCTGGAAATGGCCCTCAGTGCAGCCAGGATGTATTTTCACTAATAGTTACGATGGAAATGATTACTACAATGTACTACAATAGGATGAAATTTCACTATGGTCTTCTCGAGGACATAAAGGCATGTCTACTAGGGCTGCATCTGGCCCGAAAATCGCCCTCAATACATCTATAGTGAGTGACTCATTTATGTTGGGCAGAAGACAGCACTGCATTCCTAAATGCAGAATTTGGAAAGTATAGAATCTATAGATCCGATGATTCAATATTTTATCATATTCCCAAAAAAAAAAAAAAAAAAAAAATCATATTCAATTATTAATGTTTGATATTATTGAAAGGATTTCACCACTGCAGGGTCACTTTCAGTCCAGACTCCAGATGCAGCGATAATGCCCGGGCGTTCTATTCGGGGTGAAGACGGTCCTGTTAGTTGCGATGGCCGTTGCACAAAAATTCGGGTAGGTACCGGTAGGGGACTCAGAAACTGCTGTTGAAGTCGTTACGCCTTCTCTGCCACTCAGCTGAGTCAGCAGAAAAGTCGCAGAAAGTCCCCAGACTTCCGGGGAAAAAAAAAAAAAAAAAAAAAAAAGGACTTCCGGAAGTCACAACATCGGCAGGGTACAGCACCCATCAACCGGTATCAAGTTTGAAAACAATAAGCTTTCTACAATGGTCCAGGCGGTGATTGTTTTTTTTTTTTTTTTTTTTTTTTAAAGGCGGTGAGTAGTGATTTCCCTTGAGAGAGCGGGGTATAGGCTCTGGCGCTTTAAGAGTTTCTAAGGGTCTGATCCCACCACTACACTACAGCCCAGTTACAGTGTAGTTTTCGGATCCCACCACTTTCGGACTTCGTCGACTTCGTCGCGGCCGCCAAAATATTTTGCCATACTTTCGTTTGGGTGTGTCGTGGCACGTCCGCGAAGGGTGCAAGCGTAGACCGAGAGGGCATCTCTGCAGCGAAAAAGAGGGAGCAATATTTTTTATTTTTTTTTTGCCTCTTTCGTCCGTTTGCAGCATCAGGGGTAAAGTCCCACCGCCGAAGTTGAGTTTTCTCAACGCCAAGCTTTCTATCACAGGTGGCATGGTGGGACGGAGCTCTGCGGTTGGTGTATTGAGAATCTAAGGGTACCAAAATACAGGAGAACAACCTATTAGATTTGGTCTTTTTGTACACTTTTTCTTTGACGTGAAATCCGTTTTGTGGTATGCTTTGGCCCTTTCCGTTTGGGCAGGAAACCATTTTCCGTTGAGAAAACTACCCTACAGAGGGTAGGGTACATTTCTCAACTTATTTGCCTTTCATTTTTTATTTTTTTTAAGACATCATTACACCCTGAAAAGGAGGAGCTCTGACAGCTCTGTTTGGCTCTCTCGNCTCTCTCGCATCAAACTCTCTTCCTTCCTTGGGCAATGAACGCATCTGGCCATCCATGTTGTCCCTGTCCATTTTACCAATGGTGACCTCCTGTCCCCTCACCTCGGGAGGTATCCCTTTTCCACGGAGACATTCACTCCGATTGTGCCAGAAGTGTTTCATTTCTCCGAGTTACTTAATAAAAAATAAGGAGAAAAGCTGTTTCTAGCGTTTTTTTTCAGTTTTTTAATTTCTTGTTTCGAATTTATTAATGTCAAAATGGTGTCACACGGTTGTTTTCTAAACTTAAACTTGGGCGGTGGGAATTCATCCCCAGGAATGTCCGTGGACCACACTGTTGTGTGGCATTTCTGTTGGCGAAAACGTCCGCCCTCTGCAACAGCCCACAAAGAACCGCTGCCGGTCCAGGAAAAGCACCGAAGAAGTCGCCCTGGTGGGATCCAATTTTCCTTTTTCGTCCCGCCACGGCGGCTGACATCTTTGTAGTGCTTTTTTGCAACTACAGTCGTAGTGTAGTGGTGGGATCAGACCCTGACTTATTGCGAAGTTCTTTTTTTGTTTTTTTTGGGAAGTTTATACGAGAGAGGGGGTCGCCGCACGCGTCGCCGCATGGGACACGAAACGAAAAACGAAACGAGTGCATCTTCCTGCAGAAAATGGCCAGGTTCATCGGTTTGCTTTAACTTTGCTATAAATAGTAACCAGTGTATTTCACCACCTTTCGTGGGCAGATGCACTCGTTTCGTTTTGGTTTCGTGTGCCGTGCGGCTAGACCCAGAATGGGTTTCAGGGGACGCTGGACCTGGTTTCCAGCAGTAGCGGAAGCTGGGTAATGGCCCCAGTAGTTCATCCGGGTTGAATTGTGAGGTCCCTGGCCTCCTGTCCACTCAAGTTTGAAATAAAATCTTCCTAAGCTTATCTTCCAAAAAAAAAGGAATAGCAAGTGCTGAAGGCGAATCGTCAAGTACAAAAGTTCAAAAAAGGGCGTCGCCATACGGCACAGGAAAGAGCGAAAAAAGGGCGTCGCCATACTGGGAAGATGGATTGAGAAGCAATAGCGTAGGTAGGAATAGTATGATGACGCAGGTGCACTCGGTTCCTGTGGGCAGTCACAGTTGTATGTAAGGGACGATGGACCCGGTTTCCAGCAGGTGATGCTCCTCACCAATAGATGGAGCGGCCCGCCAGGCAAAGCCTCAATCCTGGTGGTTCTCTTACCACCACCAGGATAGAGGCCTTGCACATGGGCCCGACTGCGTAGTGGGGGTGGGAAGGGGGGGTGGGAAGGGGAGGTGCCAGGGTCCTTGGAAAAGGAACAAGGTTCCTCCCGGCCGCATTGGGCCCGGTACCAGACCGGTTAGTAGGTCTGTGCGTAGTTTAGGATAGGCTAGGTAGGGTTGTAGGGTTGGGTAGGGTAGAGGAGTGGCAATTAGTCTTGAACAAGTGTGTGGATCTAAGTAAGGTTTTTTAACTTTTTTTGTTAACAATGACCAGCATTCAGTAGATCTGTGAGAATTGATTCGTGTAAGCTAAACCGGCCTATGCTGCTGGGATAACTCCGGGTTGAATTGTGAGGTCTCCGGCCTTGAATTTTTTTAATTCTCACAGAAATATGATACAGTGAGGGGGAAAAAAAAGAAAAAGAAAAAAAAAAGAAAAAAAAGGTTACCATCGTTAAAAAAAAAAAAAAAAAAAAGAGCGAAAAATGAAATGAGTGCATCTTCCCAAGGAAATGGCCAGGTTCATCGGTTTGCTATAAATAGTGAAGAGTGTATTTTGCCACCTTTTGTGGCCAGATGCACTTGTTTTGTTTCCGTTTCCGTTTCGTGGCGAGGCCTAAAGAGTGGGCTGCTGGGCTCACAGTCTCCTTAGGATGCGTCACAGTTTTTTTTTTCCTGTGACGATTTTAGTTCTATAGGCTGGTCACTCGCTGCGCTGTGGTGCGCTGTGGTGGACCTCTGGGGGTTAGATCAGATCATCAGAACAATTGTGAAGGGCAAAATTGAAATGACACGTTGTCAAGGGCAAAATTGAAATGACATGTTGTCAAGGGCAAACTTGAAATGACACGTTGTCAAGGGCAAAATTGAAATGACACGTTGTCAAGGGCAAAATTGAAATGACACATTGTCAAGGGCAAAATTGAAATGACACGTTGTCAGGGGCAAAATTGAAATGACACGTTCAGGAAGTATCCGGCTGCAACTACGGCAGGCAGACCTGGATGAATCTGACTGCAATCACGTCCAGAGCTTAGTTGACAAAGTCCTAGCTGTTATATTTAGAATTTTAGAACAATTACTGAGGGCATACTCGCACTAGACAAGCCCTCAATTCGGACGGTTCTCTTACCATGGCCGGGATGGAGGGCTTACACAGGGGCTTAAAAAAAAAAAAAAAGTATCTGGCTGCAATTACGGCCACACCTGGATGAATCTGACTGCAATCACGTCCAGAGCTTAGTAGAAAAAGTCCTAGTCTGAGTTGGTTCCAAAACTTGTGCTCTGCCCAATTTTAAAGCTCTAACAGTGAACCCTCCTTCCTCCTCACCCCCTCCCCCCGCCCCCCCCCTCCCCTCTAGGCCTCTAATAGTGAAACTTGTGCTTCCAGTAAATTGTTTTTTGGGGCAAGTACGTTTATATCACCTTTTGGTTTCGAAAGGGCAAAAAAAACACGAAAGGGCAACGAAAAAATGGCTGTAGTTCGAAAAGGCAGAAATAACAGCAAAAGGAGGTAACATCAGGCCCCGAGTTCGAAAAGGCAGAAATACCGCATTTTGTAGGCTTTTTTTTTTTTTTTTT